CGGAGTTAGCACTCCGACGATCAAGTCAGTAACGGTTTAATCACTGTTTTGCGTGAGGATTCGATATGTTATAGTATATATGCAGGAATAATAAAAACGAATACCCTTTACCGGTGGGCATGTTCTCCTTTTATACATGCCCCTCGGTCCTTTGCTCACTGACCCGGGAATTCAGTGATGACTACTAGCGGCGGCCGTCTTTCTATCCGGGCCGTCCGGATGGCCGGAGCCATGATGACCTCTCCAATAGGTCTGACTGGGATGTCTGGGCATCAACTGCTCGGCCGCACCTGGTCATTTCGTCATTTAATGCAGTTGTCAGGACATTAAATGTGCCGCTCCATCATTTATAGCACCCCCCCCGACCTGTAAGATCCTCCCGAGGGGTCGAGTCATCCATCCGTCGCCCTTTATGCGGATGGGCCAGACAAGTCTTTTGGGCCACTCATAACCCTGGGCTTGATGCTCCGGTGGGCCGCGCGAACTGGGCCCATCTATTTTTAGTGGCCTTTTGTCTTGGGCCTTATTGAGTAATTCCGGTCCGGATCAATATATATATATATATATATACATATATATATATATATGGTTGTTCGAATATTTACCTGCATACACTCAACAAATTGAAAATCAAATTAACCCACTACCACAATCTCCAGTTACTATCACTAGTGGACGGTGTCGTTTACCACCATATAAAACAGCTTGTAGATAACTGCAGATTCTATCCTTCAAAAAATCAACTAACATGCATTGGTGTTATATTTCAAATGTGCATAGGTTGAATATATTTGATCACACTTGAATTACCAAGGCAGGCCAAACTCAGAGCAAACACGGCGTACTTCAAATTAAATCGAACAAAACTCGAACATTTAAATAGATATTTCAAAAAGAAAAGCATTTGATTTTAGAAAAAAAAAAATTAAAATTAAAATGAACAACTAGTGCGAGTAGTATACGAAAGCCATGTGATAATTCCAACTCACGTTTGTTTGCATTCCTAATTTCCTAGGTGTTTCACATGGCCACCCGATCTTGCGCGTTGCGATGAGCTATCAATTCCATCTTTTCGCAAACCAACTAAATGCTTTGTTGACGACCGCACACTGATTGTTTATCTCCATCTAATGCCTTTCTATATATCTCGGCTCTCGCTAGTAATTACTAATATATCATGTAAACTCTATTCACAAATTACAATTGATCTTTTCGAGTTTTCATATTTTGGAAAACTTTCATTTTTGTGGCATTATAAATTCGGCTAATTAATCTGTTAGGCTAAACTGGGTGGATTAAAATAAATAAAATAATACGATATCATGTAATATAAATTATTTGAATTGAGAGTGGGTTCAAGTTCACCATATAGTCAAAGGGCGGACTTCTTTTTTCGGTCGACCTGTTCTTGATCTTTGAATTGGAAGAATAATGATGTTGCTCAAATGTCGATTGAGTAAGTAAAGAGTTTTTTAACTCAAATGAATGAAAAAATGTCGTAAATCACTGCCACGTGTATAAGGTAAATATATTGAGCACAACGACGAAATCATTTGTCATTTTCCTTGGCACATTTGGTACCACCATAACTCCATTTATTACCCCAATTTTGGCTATCTTGTGATGGGCATTTATTTCCCAATTCCAAAACCACAAAACAGGAATTGCTAAATATATGTTAATTAACGGTGAGTTAAATGCTACACCTGATAATTTTACTTGGTGGATTTGAACCGTAGAATTTATTAAATAACTATCCACTAAACACACATACACACAACTGTATGTAATTATATGTTAATTTACGGTTCAAATCCATCGAGTATAAATAACAAAGTGTGGCATCTAATTTCCCTTAATTAACCTCATTTGCACAATTGTCTCTTGAATCCAAGCCTCTCATTTTCCAAATCATACTCCATGTAAAAATTCTGCTGCTGATAATTACCCAAGATAATCGCAGGGCCCGGCCCGATTCCCTCCCGGGTCGAATTGTTCGTCACTACAGTCATGCAAATCACCGAATCATCCAAGAAAGAGAAGTAATCCGCCAACGGCAGAACCATTTCTGCACCCCCTTTGAAATGGAACGACAATTCCGGTAAGCTGACGGAACCCTCCCCGGAGACATTGAAACATGGCCTTAATCCCGACCGATCTTCGACTTCGCGGGCTCTGCTGTAATTTCTCCGGCCGACCTGCTTCTCGAACTCCTCCGCCACCGGCTCGAACACCCGGCTCTCCATGAACGTGAAGGTGGTGCCGGAATCCACTATCGTGCCGCCGTCGCCGGCGGCATCCGCCACCAGGAATTCGTACGGCGCCTTCACGTGGACCCCGCCAACCGTGATTTTCCGGAGCGTAACGTAGTAGTAGTCTTGGAATGCGGGGTTCGCAGACTTTGGGTTCTTGCGGAACGGGGTGTACTCAACTCCGGCTGCGGCGCCGGCGGCGCCCCCCCCCCCGACAAAAACTAGATCGCTACTTACCGGCTCGTCGTCGAAGCGGTGGGAGACGAGACAGTAAGAGAATCTCTTAAGACCCATCTGAGCCGGTAAGGACTCCGGGCCGCGGCCGAATCCGGCGATCCCCGCCGGCTGCCGGGATGAAAAAATTGAGCAGCCGACGAAGAAATTTTCCACCGATTTTTCCGGGAAGAATAGGGTTTCAGACAGAAGTAGCCCAGTCGTCGATCCTGAGCCGTACTGGATTATGTACGGCGGGCAGAATTCTTTGCAGGTGGTTGAGTTTTGGTCGCAGTTCTTGCACTGGACGTCGGGAAAAATCCATCTGCATTTGGGGTTCTTGCAGCCGATAATCATGGAGGAAGAAGACGATTTCGGTAAGAAGATTGATATATTAGAAGGGTTCACGTTCACGAAGTTGCAGGAATTGCAGGCGTAGCGCTGGGTGCATGGGAACCAGACGAGGCTGCTGCCGGTGTCCATGACGAATGGCAGTGTCTGCGGCGGCGTTCCGAAGCTGAGGGAGATGGAGTATCCGCCGTAGCCGCGGGGAAACAGTGGCGCTTTGGTGGCGGCGGCGGCGGAAGTGCTGGTGTTTGGGTGTTTGAGGAGGTGGGCTCTGGTGGAAGACGCGGCGGAGAGGTGGTTGAGCCTCTGCCATGGATTGGCAAGGGGCGGCGGCGGCGATGCGGTGGTGGGTGAGAGGGAGAGGGTGGTGGAGTAGGCGGAAGAAAGAGAGAAGATGGAAATGAGAGAAAACAGAGGCAGAAGAGAAAGGGAAGAACTCATTTTTTAATTTGTGTGGAGTGTGAGGAGGAAGTGAATTATCTGTTATTGAATTCTTTTTAATTTCTTTTTGGGTATTTTTTAATAGGGTAAATTACAACCACCTTTGAGTATGTTAATTTAAAAAAAAAATCTTATTGTTTGGATAATTACATCTATTTTGTCAATTATAATTTTTTTTTTTACACATGGTGTCAAATTCAACATAATTATCTAGATTTCGTGGGATATGCTCTAGTTTGTACTCGTTTTGTGTAAAAATACAATTTCTGATGCACCACAATCTCATATATATATACAAGCCAAAAAACACATATTATGATCATTTTGCTTGAAAATGTGAAGTTCGAAGGGGATAAAACGGGTTCAAAAGTGATAATATTCTATATAATCTCGAATATTCCACTAAATTTGAAACCGCAAGAATGGACGTGTAGGAAGATTTATAGTTGAGGGGATTATTGTAATTACCTAAACTAGAGGGGCGTTTTCATAATTTGACTATACTTAAGGGATGGTTGTAATTTACACTTTTTAGTTTTTAATAATATTTGGACAACAAACGTTTGCACTTTGGTGGAATCTTTGTTTGATTATATGATCCAGTTTTTGGCAATGGAAAGTTTCTTTGGGCCCCACTGGTTTTAGGGAAAAGGAAGATAGAAAAAAATATGTTCGATTTAACTTTTGGAAAAAAAAGTTAAATTTTTTTTTTTTAGTTGAGTAGGAGATATTTTGATTCCGTGGTGATTGATTGGAGCATGTTTCTTCCCATCTAAGAATATAGGGTAAATGACTAAATTCCATAAAAAATCGTGAATCTTTTTCCATGTCTACATTTATAATAATTAAATTTAAATTCATTTAAAAACAAGATTTTTTTAAAATACAATTAATTATAATTGTTCTAGCAATCACAAACTTAAAAAAAAATTAAAAAAAAGATACAAGCAATAGATTTCGTGCCCGTTAATGCTTCATCGATGACAAGAGGGAAAATGTTGAATTGGAGCCCACTTAGCCGTTGTGAAAAGTGTACGTTACAAATGAAAATTCAATTGTTAATTATATACTTTTGGTTGGCTAATTTAATTTTTTTTTTAGGACAAAAGGAAGAATTTCATTAGGCTATACTAGCTAAGATTGGAAGGAGGTGAAATCGGGCCATCGTTACATGATTTGATTTGTCGAGCAAGTTAAAGCGTGCGCGAGACTATTACTCTATCTCGTAAAGAACGAGAAAACACAATAATTAATCGAAGTAGCTAGCATAATGCAATCTACAATACACGGCTGGTGACGAAACGATACTACA